TGTGCTTTTCATCTACTAGGAAACATAGTACACAGGTTTAGGAAAAATGATAAAACAAAAGTGTTGTTTTGGAGGCTTGTGAAAGCTTACAAAAGAAATGTTTTTAAAGAATTGTGGTATAGATTTAGTTCTACTAGGCCGCAAGTAGCAGCGTATCTAAATAAAATTCCCCGTGCTAAGTGGACTAGAGCATATTCGCTGTCGAAACGGTACGATTACATGACCTCGAACAGTGTAGAGTCCATGAATGTTTTATCTGTAGATGCAAGGAAGATGCCTATAATACCCCTTCTTGAGTTCTTCTGTCGTCTTTCACAGGAATGGTGTAACAAGCGTCGCATCGAAGGAGGTATGAATTTAATTTGGACTTTAATTAGGTCGAATAATAAGTTAATTATATAAAATCTTCTTTACAGGGAAACATTCAACAGTGCTAACCGAGTGGGCTGAAAAAGTAGTTGGTAAAAATGAAGAGCGTACGACAGGATGATCCGTTTCTGGTGTTTCAGATGCAATATATCAAGTTCATGATTTCAAACATGGTGGCATAGTTGATCTGAGGCAAGAGACTTGTACATGCAAATATTGGGAAGGAACTTGGTTGCCTTGTGGTCATGTCATAATGGTCTTGAAGCACTTGAAAAAAACTAACTTCGGACATCTGGCTATAGATGCTTACAAAATGGAAACGTACCGAAGTACGTATGAGGAGCCGGTTTACCCCCTTCCAGAACCGTGTGATTGGGAGATTCCTGCTGAGATGATGGTTGTTAAACCCCCGATAATGAAATACACGTCAAGCTGGTAGACCGAGAAACAGAAATCGTATCCCGTCATAAGGTGAGGAACCTATAGTAAGAAGGTGTAGTAGATGTGATAGTACAACACATAATGCAGTGACTTGTCCGGCATTGGTCCCAAAGAAACAAAAAAAGGCTACAAAAAGTAGTGTGACATCAGGTAGTAACACAAAAGGGAAAGGGAAAGGGACTCAGGAGACGCTACAGACACACAGGACACAAGAGACGTGTTGGACGAGTGGGACGCAGAGAGAAGACTATTGTTCAACGTTTTATTTGAATGATTGATGTTGTATTTATAATTAATTATGTTTTGTTTTAGAGGACATTAATTTGTGTACTTTGAAATGGTGTGTTTATTTTAAAGATGATGGGTAATATTATGATTATATTAGTGCATAATTACTAGTACAATAATAACTAATACTCGAAGATAATACATTCAATAAACCAGAAACATATAGTAAACGTACAACAAAAGTAATTAACTTAAGGGAATTGCAAAGGATACTTTTATTTCTCCATTGTTATGTAGTCGTCCCTAATTCTTATTTTATCTTCCATACGGTCCTTTTGGCTACCAAGTTCTATCATTTCTGCATCCTTGTCAGCAAGCCATTTTTCAGACAGTTTGATATTCTTCTTACTTTTTTTATCCATTCCTCATGATCTTTGATTTTGTGTTTTTAGTAATCGTCGTCCTTTCCTCAACCTCTTTGCACTCCGCCGCAATGAGGTCACGACGTTCAGTGAGAGCTCGAGATGAGTCTTTATCTTTTTTTTTTGTTCTTCAGCCCATTGTAGTTGTTGCAAAGTATCCTCCAACATATACGACTCTCTTAAATTTGGTGATGAGGCAAGAAAAGGGTCGATCAGATCACAATAGAAACAATCAACTTCGTTGCACGAGCAAATATACAAAGATGAAGATGAACTCATTTTAAAATTAAAAAAAAAATATTATAACTCTATACCAAAAATCCAACGACCATCCATGAGTATATATAGTCCCTTCCACTCCGCAGAGAGCTGTTGTCAGTCCGCAGAGCTTTTTGTCAGTCCGCAATAATGTGTGTCAGTCCGCAGAGCTGTTTGTCTAGTCGTTGTCATCCATACATTACAATTATGGGGATACAGTTATTTATTTAAAGGTAAACATTTTTTATTAAAAAGTAAAGAACACCAACAGACCATTACAACTACCGTTAACATAGAACTGAATACAAATTAATATTCGTTGTGATCCATACAATACAGTTCAATTGAATTGTCGTGGAGGTAACACCACAACACTTTCAACTGGTATTTCCCAATGCCTAAGGGTTGGAATAGGATTGACCGTCTCAGTTTGATAAGCATTTCGATACACCGCTGTACTTAACTTTAAATTTACCATTTGCTGGATTTCTGCAATTTCGAGTCTTTGTAGTGAAGCTATAGCATGCTCACAAGGTATACCGCATTTTTGCCATTTACCGCAACTACAAATACCACGGTCTAATTGGACAGTTTCGGTTGTTGAATATTTAGTCACTTCATATCTGTCGCCAACAATATGCGTAATCCTACAACCATCCGAGTGGATAAATCTTTTATGAATCACCTTAAGTGCATAAGGGGTTAGAAGACCATGAAAATCCCCTGTGAAATGAACTGAATCAAAAAAACAAAAATTATGATGTCATAATGTATAATAACATATCAATTCACCATTTGAGTGATGTCATAACGTATAATTACCTCCAAACGCAGCACGTTGAAGATACACTGCTTGCATCGAGTCATGGACCATTTCAATGATTGTTGTTATTGGAAACTCATGCGTGTTTGTTTTAAACCAATTGACAACAACGGGAATGTCAATGAATTTAACATTGAAACGTACTCTTGGAAAACAAGCCCGTACCCATTTTGCAATGGGAATATTGTCAAGCCAATGAAGATCATTCCCATTAACCTCATTTTTTAAGTTGTTCAAACATGCATAAAAATGAGATAAATTATACGCTTTACAAGTCTTCCAGAACAACTGTTGTACGACTGTATTGCTTCCAATGGAAGCGCGTATTTTCTCGGCTATATTTTTACAACAATAGTCATGATATGAATCAGGGTAGACTCTTTGAACTACAAAGTCTATAGAATCAGACATATGGCTTATGAAACCAACTTCTGTATTGTCACCTAAACATTCTTTAAGCCTCCTCATGAACCATAACCATGAATTGTCACGGTTTATGGTTCCCAAAGCAAACGCTATGAGAAGGGGTTCATGATTTCCATCTAAAGCAACCGCAATGTACATGGATCTTACATATGCCCCAATTAGAGGTACTTGACCAACGAATATGATTGGTATCATAGACGTGAGAAACGTACGAATCTGTAAGTCAACATGTGTTAGATTAGGCATGTAACAACTTGAAATAACTAAATATTTATAACTATAAGGGATTACATACCATACATCCCAATGCGACGAAACAGATTTGGAAACGATTGTACTGATCTTTCGTAATGTACGTGTAGGTGTTAGGACTGGTTCTTTGCAGATTAAGGAAAAAAGTCGGTAGGCTGGAGAAACTTTTTCTTAATACCTGATTGACTGAACTCATTTTCACAACTTTCGACACCTTGTAAAAATGGAAATGCTTGTCCAATTTATAAGGAATTAGTATACATTATTCCGCAGAACTTACTTGTCAGTCCGCGTAAATGACTTGTCAGTACGCGTAACTTATTTGTCAGTCCGCGTAACCTGTTTGAATGTATGGTTTTTAAACATGGGAATTATTTTTCATAAAAAAAAAAGGATAAATACCATATTACATATAAATAAAGCAATACAAGAACAATACAAAACGCAGTACTAGTTACAAAAACGGGACATTTTTCAAAAGATTCCAAGGGGCTTCATAGTCGAAACTCTGTCCGTTGCTAATGGATTTGTATTCTTCTTTAGCCGCCTCCAAGATGTCTTCCTCGGTATCATTCACATGATCGTCTTCAATCTTATTATAAAGATCGTTGAATAACACAACTTCTGTTTTCAATTCATACCATTTTGCAACTATATCAAGCGTGTTGCGATGGTTTTCTATGGTGGTTTCAGCGTCAGTGTTGAAGGTATTCGTTAATAGGACCCAAAACATTCTATCCTCCAAACTGGTGTTCTCATAGACATTAATATATGCACGAGTTAGAAGCAAATACTCGTTAGCGGTCCATGGGTTTGAACCCATTGTAAAACATACAAACTACATGAACTAAAATAGATTAGATGAAGTGATACATAATTTTTTGTCGTTTTATATAGACATGACAGTCCGCAAATATCTAACGATCATCCATGACAATATATAGACCCTTCAACTCCGCAGAGAGCTGTTCGTCAGTCTGCGTTACTGACTTGTCAATCCGCATAGCTATTTGTTAGTCCGCGTTACTGACTTGTCAGTCCGCATAGCTATTTGTCAGTCCGCATAGGTATTTGTCAGTCCATGTTACTGACTTGTCAGTCCGCATAGCTATTTGTCAGTCCGCGTTACTGACTTGTCAGTCCGCATAGGTATTTGTCAGTCCGCGTTACTGACTTGTCAACTAATGCAGCTAATCTGTCTGCTCCAACTAATGGTACATCTCCATGGACGACAACAGAGGTGTTGGTCTTAACACGATGCTGGATTACCGTTTACGAGGGTCTGCCGGTAATAGCTCCCCTTAATTGCCTTCTTGGTGATGAATGGTCCCGCTTAGTAGCTTTGTTCAACTATAACGTGGGACAAGGACAAAAACGACTAAAACCCGATATTGTTAGTAAATGGATGGATTTAAAGACTAAAGTCACATGGTACAATCGATGCTACAATTATGAGAAAATGCGATGCTCTGATGCTGATGATGAAGAACTTCTTGAATACGTGAACGGATATTACCTGTGCCAATTTGATGAAACCGAGTTCGAGTATACGGACGTTTGGAATCTGGTTAGAAATAAACCCTTTTTCATGTAGACGACTCTTTTATTCGTAATGTTCTATGTAATGTTTGTTAGTCGTTCATCTTTTATTTGCAATGTTTTCTGTAATGTTATTATGTAATTTCAAATGTTTGTTTTGTTTTTAATGTATCGTAATATATGTTGGTGAATTATGTTTCAAAAAATATATGATACAAAAGTTGTTTATATTAAACAAAACTACTAAAAACAAGTATTTCATAATAATGTATACAAACTTCCAAACATCAAGTTATTTAGTATCCCAAAAATATTTGTCATCCTATTTCTGTAGAGAAATCCCGCATCTCTACATGGCTTATCACTCTTCACCGGTACCCCCGAAGCAATCATTTCCATATACATGCTTAACGAATACTCCACAATCCCCTCTATTAGCATATATTCTTGTTGTGGCGCGTCTACAATGTCAATAAACTCCACAACTGCGTTGTCTTTGTGTCCATCGGGGAAATCCTTCCAGTAGTCAATCGCATCTAGCTCTTCGATTATACTATCCCCAAAACTTTTGAATTCTCCACCAGTCAAGTACGTTGTGAAGTAATTCATACATCGTGCTGAATCATATATGTGTACTTTCCAAATATCTAAATGTAGCACTACCAAAAACCAATGGGAATGAGGAACGTTTATGGTGAATAGAACCTACAAACAAAAACAAATGTAATAGTCATTAATTCGTTTCCTATATAAAATAAATAATTAATAAACTTAACTAACCATATCCACATCCGTCCATTTAGGATGGCCTCCGACACCATTTGCAATATTCCTAAGAAAATATGTTTTTCCGTTTTGCAAATTAAGTTCTTGAGGGAATATCGTCCACCTTGCGTTCGTCGGCCGTCTTTCCATGAGCAAGGCACTCCATATCGCAATATGATGTACATTTTAAGATAAAAATGTTACAATTTTTTATATAAATTATCGTCTAAAAATGTAGTTAAAATTTATATTTAACGAATGTTACCGAAGAAATTAACCACCCAGCGTCAGTAACTGCAAGTAACCTCGACCAAAACTCCACATCCAGTGGCAGCATATGCAGCTTATGTTTAGTGTTCAGGTTGGAAGAGATACTATTCCATTCTTTCCAAAAAGTCAACGTACTGGCAGCTTCAACACTGTCGAGCAGGAGATGATTTGAAACAACATTACTCTCTTCATTCACAATGTCTTCATTTGCTTTTTCAGGACTCTTCACCACTTTTTTTTCTTTGCTTTCGTGATTTTCTTCAATTTTGGTGTGGATTGCATCTAAAAAATTATCATGTTAAATAATAATCAATACGTTAATATTTAAAAAATATACCAAATTTAAAATATGAGTTCTGTACCACTGTGAACGGAGTCCGCTGATACCATGGAACACCCCTCTTCTGTTGCGGCCTAACAATAGGAGTCATTTCTTTTGTGAGATGTTCACCCACGTCCAATGATGGCTCAACATGCGTAGGTGTAGACTCAAATTCCCCCTCCAAACCATGACTACCTATATTATCATAGTCAAAATGTGTATCATGGTAAGATTTTTCTTCCTCCTCTTCATTTATCATCTCTTCCTCCTCTCGAAACCTTCTGTCTGGTTCAAAATTTGTGTCGCGTTCATCTTTTTTCTGTAATACACGGTCTACTTTAGAACTTAAGTCAGCCACAACGCCTAGTAGACGCTTCACTAATGCCTTTGTGTTCGTCTTCTTCTTCTTTGCCAATCTTGATGTGTCGTGTGACATATAACTTATTTCTGTTTCAAGATGTTGCGAGGAAGAAGCATTTGTGGTAGATTCAGTCGAAGATGTTTGTATTTCGGACTTGTACATCCTTCTTCGAGCAGGCGAGGCAATAGGAGGTGGACTATTTTGGACGGGACTATGTTGCCGTGGGGGAGACTCTACAGGGTTAAGAGTCCAATTGACATAACGAACATAAAACGGCAACATCAGCTCCTCCGGGTTTGCCTCGACATTAATAGGTTGGTTGTTAGGCTGCAAAAATCAGATTGTTAGTTTAACATGAAAATAATTTGGAATTTGTAAATATAGATGATTGTTAATATAAAAACCATACCACAGACACGTTCATTATTCGACAACATTGAACCCAATTCAACGGTGTTTTACTTCTCCACGCCCTCATCCGTGACAATTCTGTCGGCGTGCGTATAAAAAACTTGGTTGCCTCTGGGAACGTCTCCAAAATCCATATCTATGAAAAAAATGTAAGTATCGTTCTATTATACTATAAAAGTCATGATACAAACTTATTATATAATACAAAACGAAGTTCAAATTTTTATAGTATAAAAAACTAAACAATGATAACTATTAAAATGCATTAGAAACTAACCTTAAACGGAAGCATAAAACCGGGAACGGTATATTTGTGTACTTTCTTCGATTCGGGATTGGCCTGCTTGAATTCTCTAAACTCTTCTATTTTCTTAAACATTCCACGCATCATACGCGAAGTATATTTCCAGAAATACGTACCCCATGCGAACCTGCAATTTTCAATTTATTTATTATAATTAGTGCATTGCATACTACTGCGGGAATGCCTGTTTTAAATGTAATACCTGTTCCAATCATCTATATTATCAGCAAGCTTGTATACTGCTGCAGGAATGCCCGTTTTAACGTCCCGTCCGTGTAGACCCTTCAACATAAAAACAAGCTGGATAAGCATCACAACATCTTCATCTTGTAGTGCCAAATAATTCGGGGACATAATTAAGTCTTCTAAATCTTTCAGCCACAAACGTGCATCAGAAATCTCTGGGAACAACCGAGCACGGAGATTTGAATTTGACTGACCCTTTTCGTCATGGAGTAAATCCACATAAGGACCAACTTTTAAACCACAAATCAAAATATATTTAGTTTCGCCAAAACCCAACTGGATCCCCTCTACATCAAACATAAACCTTCCCATCTCAAATATTTGTTGACACCTTACTTCGTGCAACATCATCTTATGTACAAGTAAGGGATCACCATGTGGGATATGCATTCCTAAGAATATTCTAAAGGGGGAAGCTTCGAATAATACTCGTTGTGATTGTGTTAGGCACGGAAAATAGTCTTTAATGATAGTCCCCACCACGCCTTTCAAAGTTAAATCCGCTTTTTGATTAAGATCTTCGTGCTACACAACAAAAAAATAACAATTATTATTTCATTTAAAAATTACTAATTGAAAAAAAAAATTATTCCATTATGAAATAAATAGCAACATACTTAAAAGCAGAAAAATAAAAATTGTGCAAAAACCATCACTCCGCGGAGGCTAGAGGTCATTCCGCGGAGGCATCTCTGTGTGGAGTGACATCTAGCTTACGCGGAGGCTGCAATGTTGGATTATAGCATTCCGCTGAGGAAACACATCACTCCGTGGAGAAGCCTCTGCGGACTGACGTCCCCCTCCGCGGAATGGATCATCCGCAATTTGAATCATATTCTGTAAACCTAAAAATCCTAAAATTACATTGGGGAATTTGAATCATATTCTGTATACATATTCAATGAAATCAAATGGGTTTTCCTCTAATTTGAATCATATTCGACATTAACAATTAGATGAGAATGTGAGAAATACCCGGGAACCATATCCATCGAGGAATTCGGGGTCCATCGGTGACGGAAAGACCTCTGCGACTTGATTTCGCCGGAGTTGAAGTCGTCGCCGGAGTTGAAGTCGTCGTCGGAGTTGAAGTGTTCGGCGGAGTTGAAGTCCTCGTCGGAGTTGAAGTCCTCGCCGGATTTGAATTCTTCGATCAAAGCTTCGAGTAGCCGATGCGATGCGGAGGGTGGACGAGGAACGGGGACCAGTGGGGACCAAAAGAGGGTTTTTCTCAAAAAAAGACGGTGGAAATTACCAATTTACCCCCTCTTCGCGGAGATTTCATCGTTCCGCAGAGGTCCGCGGAGGGTCCTCCGCGGAATGCGTGTCTATATCTGGAAAAAACTTTTTTTATGACTAAATTTATAAATTTACCTCCGTTTTTTGTCTATTTCAAGTATTTTCCCCATGTCAAGATGACAAGGAATTAAGCAACAAATAAAAATTGTATTTGGTTTCGCAGTTTTTATGTTTTCACATTTGCTTTCTTATTTTTTCAGTTTGTATTTAAAATCAAATATAATACAAATACATATTTAATTTGTAAATAAATTACTACTGAAGTTTGTTTTCTATATCAGTTAAAAATAATTGTTACGACCAAAAGATCAGTTATACAAATAATAATAATAATAATAATAATAATAATAAAAACCAAACTCTTTCGAGTAAGGCCTACTTTTTCCTCCTAAATGGGCCCAATCCGATTTCTCCAAAATTGGTTTGAACAATAGAAAATATAGGTTACCTTCCTACCCTATAGCCTATAGGTAATAGGTGGTCCCAAAGTAGTATAACAATATCAATAAAACATTAAATTTAATAAAATTTAACTATACATAATCATAAAAGTGGTAACAAGGTTAGAGGATCGACATCATCATAAAAAAAATATAAAATAAAATAAAAAAACAACAACTAAATAATGACTTAATTTGTAAAGAAAAACTTTTATAAACAAAAGTGCAAAAAAAAAAGAGGAATCATTTTTGTAATTTAATCTAAAAATGTATACCTTTGTTGTAAGTAATGTATCTTTTTTGCATTCCGTGGGTAAATAAATTGTCCCACCATCAAGATATTGGGGCGCTAATCTTAACCGCAAATCGTTCCAATCCAACGGTGGTGATCCGCTACGCGCATCTGCCGACTCTCGCTTCCTAGCCTAGCAGAACAAATCAGATTCCACCACGCGCTTCAAAACCAGCGGTTTTAAAGATTCCTTTAAATACGTGTCACGCTTTTTTTCAGAAACAACTCAAAATTCATCCTCTGTTTCTCGTGCGCCAGAAAATCGAGAGCTGTGCGACTGCGAATCATAAAGCCTACACATTATTTCTCTCCATTCGTACGATTTTGGCGGAAGGGAGAGAGAATCGAAGTTGACTAGTGGTATGATCTCTATTCTTATTTCGGTACATGTAATTTTTTGTTTTGATTATTGTTCATCTTTAGATTCCATTGTTGAAGTGTAAGTGTTCATGGAATGGATGGATTTAGGGCTGTTTAATTTGCTTTTTTGCTATTCTGTTGTTGAAATGTAAATGCTCGATGAAAAAAGTTTGAAATGCTCTGATCGATATTGTCTAGAAGCATCTGGATCCATACGCTCATGTTTCTTTTGGTTTATTTTGTGCATCGTTAAACTGCTAAGCTTTAATTTCACAAAACACTTTAAATCTTCATCGAGAAATCCATATCTATCTCAAATCATACAAGTATTGCAAATGAGACAAAAATGCAAAGAAATTGGTATTGATTTTGAATTTGAGGGTGTATATCAGTATATGTATCAATAATCTTGATGCTGTTTCCTGTAGTTATTTACTTGAAGAATGGCATTTGCAACATCAAGTTTTTGGGGTCCTGTTACATCAACTACAGAATGGTGTGAACAGAATTATGCGCACTCTTCATATATTGCTGAATTTTACAACACGATTTCAAATATCCCAAGCATTGTTTTGGCACTTATTGGACTTGTGATTGCATTAAGTCAGCAGTTTGAGAAAAGATTCAGCATACTTCACATCTCCAATATGATCCTTGCTATTGGGAGCATGTTGTTTCATGCTACACTGCAACGACTGTAAGCTACCTTACATTGAAGTTCATAATTTGAAACAAATTCACACAAACAAATAAAAACAGATTGCTATTATTGATCAAAACTTTGTACTTAAATTCAGGCAACAACAAGGAGATGAAACACCAATGGTATGGGAAATGCTATTATACATCTACATCCTCTACTCTCCACATTGGCATTACAAAACCACAATGCCCACTTTTCTCTTCCTCTATGGTGTCCTTTTTGCAATCTTTCATTCCCAAATTCGTTCCAATTTTGGTTTCAAAGCTCATTACATAACACTTTGTCTTCTTTGCATCCCGAGAATGTACAAATACTACATTCACACACATGATAAGAACGCAAAACATCTAGCAAAACTCTACCTCATCACTTTATTCCTTGGCCTTTCATGTTGGGGTTTTGATCGGGTTTTTTGTAGGAAGATTTCTATTTGGGAGTTTAATCCACAAGGGCATGCGTTGTGGCATGTGTTCATGGCGTTTAATTCGTATTTTGCGAATGAATTTTTGATGTTTTGTCGGGCTCAACAAAGGGGGTGGGACCCACGGGTTGTGTATTTTATGGGGTTTTTTCCGTACGTTAAAATCGAAAAACCAAAGGCTCAGTGATTTTGATATATAGATTTTAAATATTGAAATATAAGTTTTAGTATAGTATAAATTAGGTTACTAGATAATATATATAGCCTTTTGTTTTCATATAAAGGTTATTGAGTATACTTGCAAATGTTTAAAGGGTTATCTTTTTGTGTTGTGTGTTGTTGATTATTAACTAATTTACCTTATATTGTGATTTAGGGGCCTATTTTGTTGTCTCATTAAGTGATGTTTAGAAATAATAATCGACTTGTATGTTTGGGAACCTTTATAGATTTAAATTGTGCCATAATAAATAATAAAAAGAAAAATTGAATTAATGACATGGCTATTAATTTAAATTGAATATAGTATCTAATATGTTCAAAAACAAAATTGAATCCAAATATTCGTTTAATAGCAATTTCATGGGTTAATTCTTGAAGAAGAAAATGAATGAATTTGATAGTTAGAATAGGCTTTATTGATGATCTAATATATCTTCATTAACTGATGAAGTTTTGCATTTGCAAATGAAGTTTTGAAAGTCATGAAACCCTTCTTTCAATCTAATATATCTTCATTAATTGATGATCTGTATAGTGATCTTTATAAGAAAAAATAAAAAAATAAAAATAAAAATAAACAAACAAACAAACATAAGATCATCTCCAACACACTTTCATTTTTTCCCTCAAAAATGAAGTAAAAAATAGGGTAAATAGTGTTTCATCTCCAACCATACTCTATTTTTTATCTTATTTTTACCTCTAAAAAGTATATTCCATTCTTCTAACTTATATAAATTGTCAAACACACCCCTTCTATTAATTTGGTTTTAACAAATATATAATCTATATTTTTTTTCATTACAATAATATTAAATAAATAAGATTATATTTATAACACTTAATTATAAGCTTTTGTAAAATACGTTATCTTGTTTTAAAAATTTCAATATGAATTTGATAAACAAAAAACAAACTTTATATTTATAATTAATTAATATAATTTAATACATAAAACAATATTATAAGTATTAAATTCTACATTTAAATTATAATTAGTAGATAAAAAAACCAGAAATGTATAAATATATAAAAAAAAATGGACTAAAATCAACAAATCAAAGTTCATCCTCAATATGGTGTTATACTATTTCCCCCCAAAATGGGGAAATAAATGGGGTAAGGTTGGAGAGAAATTGAGAAATAATAAAAAATGAGAGTGGGTTGGAGATGCTCTAAGAAGCGTTATCAATCATTTTACGGTTCATAAAAATATGTATTGAATGAGGTTATTCCCGATTGACTTATGGATAAGGAGATCGATCAATAAATAAATGAGTAAAAGGAAAACCATATTACAAATTTTCAGTTTTCATAGAATGGTAGGATCAGATTGGATCCCGATCCTACGATCCTATGATACCTTTCGCGATCTTACATATAAAGCGATCTTATTACGATCCGGAACGATTTTCATAGATAGGATCTTAAGATCTTACGATCAAGAACGGGACCTTGACAACCTTGCTAATAGAACAAATGATTATTTTTCAAAATGATAAATCGAAATTGTTTATTTCAAAAACTATGTTTAGAAATTAAAACTATCGCTTTTTGAAAAGATAAAACATATAAAATTTTGATTTTGTTTTTCAAAAAATAATTAGTTGGCTCGTTTTAACGAGACCTTTACAATTTACTTAAATATTTTGTTATATTTGTATATCCTTAGAAAATGTGAGAAATGTTTGTGACGTACAAACTTAAAAAAAAATATATGGTCTTCTAAAAAACAAACAATATATAAGATAAAACGTCTATGCAGGCTGACAAAAGTGGTCCGAAAGCTTTTCTCGAAAAAACAAACACCACCTTAATCTTTTTTTTTTCACATTTAATCTCCCACACATCATAATATATAAGTTGTATCCTAATTATATAAATTCATAGTAAACAAGTTAAAAGGCATTTGAAAGTTAATATGATACTTGAGTAAAATAAAAAAATGTTTGTATAGCAAACCTATGTTTTTTTTAATTAAAAAAAATCAACAAAAACTTAAAAACATATTGCACTTAGGCTATATGATATGGGTGTGTGAAGGTGAGTCTTGAGGGTGAGTTGACAAGCCCTTTGACGCATGCACACCGCTCAATGTAAACATGATGTTACGTAAGGTGGGTTACAAGCTTTAACGTAAACATTGACATCATATATGGTTTTTTTTTTTCATATCAGTTTTCCACTAACTTTATCAAACAAAACTCTATTAACTTAAATCATCTTCAATCATTGACCATTTTGGAAAAACAAAATCTATGATTAACTAGTTTATCCTCGTCTATACTAAATGTATTATAAAAACCTTATCATCCAAAATTGTCATTTTTACATAAACATCAGTTTTTTAAAAGATATTTTACACAACAAAAATATTTAATGAAAATAACATGTTAAAATACAAAAATTTTGACAATTAAACGAAAGAAATATATTACAACAATCACCGTAAAATAGTAGACATAAATGTATATTTGAACACACATCCGATGACAAAAAATATTGAAAATTTAGAAAAAAAAAATTACAAGATAGTAATAATATTTTTGTCAAAATATTTGTGAGGATGACCTTTTTGCCGATATAATGACCAAAAATACTTATAAGATGAAAAATAATTATAGAAACACGGTGTAATAAAATACGAAAGACAATAAATTCTTAGGTATATAGTTATAAAAAATATTATAATACCAAAAATGTTACATTATAATTAAGAACTTAATATTTAATATTTATTAAAAGAAATTAACTAGGTAATAAATAACAAATATTAAAGTTTTACTATAATTAAAGAGAAATAAAATATCATCCTCTTGATTAAAAGAGGAGTTAGTTGTATTAAAGATGAACTCAAAAAAAAAAACAATTAGTTCATATTGAATGGTTGAATTATTCGACCAAAAAATGCATTATCTCCCAATGGAGAATTGTAAAAAGTTAGTTTTTTTTCGATTCCAAATATTTGACCTCCCATTAACTATTCAAAATGAATTTTTTTATACATCTAATCAGCTAAACTCCATCCAATAAAATTGGAAAATTCATAAACGTCTAGAATAACACCATGAAGTCACTAATTCACCCCACCCAAGAAATATTATGTCACATACTCACATTCGAATTAGAATTGCATTACAACTCAATGGCGAATGCCTCTATTTCTTTAAAAAGAAACATCAATATGTATAGCTTACTGGATTAAGTCATGTTTCTGTTAAGTCCATTAAGTCCAAAAAAATCATCTAATTACCTTTCGACAGTAATAATATCTTGGAACAAACCAATACCATCACTTTTTATGTAGAACAAGCAAACCCTAGATTAAAATTTACCAAAAAAAAAAAAATTGTAAATTTCCCAAAATGACCCTCAAGAAGGGACCTTTCCAACTGTACCTAACTTGAAACAAAATAAATCCACAAAAATCAAACTACAACAAACATATATGATATAAAAAAAGAAAACATCTGAATAATAGTGTCATTGTTTCATCAAAATACACAAAGAAATGAACTACTTCAGTCCTCAGATGAATTGCTTCAAAAATTCAGTTGCCACTAACCTCCCCCTTGTATTCATTGACAGTTTTAGTTCACTTATCTCTTTGTCAATATCCTGCAAATCAACACCACATAATAATTATAAACCAAACATGTTTATAAATATCAAAATGATTTTATTCACAGATGTTTATATACCATCTCTCATTCTACAACATAAAAAACATACAAGTGTGAACCAAAAAATATATAGATCTGATTAGTTAACAGATTATACATTAATAATAAAAAACAAAGATAACTAGAGTTGATTAAAATCTTACTTCCATGAATTGCACAATGAAGTCGATAAGCTTATGCTTCTGCATCTCTTCACAGTGGTAATTAGTGATAAGAAAACTAATATCATAACCCTGAAAAATAAAAATAAAGAGAGAGATATAGGGTCATAATTAGATCTTATTTAAAGATATGTGAGTGTGTGTAAGTGTGTAAGTGTGTGTACACCTGTACTGGTTTTCTCCTTAATACTTGAAAAGCTTCTGCCCTCATTGACAAAAATCTAAGGAATTTTTTGGTTAGGATGTTTTCAAGCTCATCTGCCTGCTTCACCTATGCACAAATTAAAAATCAATGAAGGGTAATTTTGTCATTTACCATTATTAACATTCTAATTCCAAAGCTATATTTATATACTAAACAGAAAACTAGAAGGCATGGAATTGAATTCCATTCCAGTAATCTTTTTCCCGAAATAAATTATAATGATGTAAATTAAACATTTAGTGTGATTACCTTGAGGCTTATGCGAAGTGAATTAATAGATGTTTCAATCAAACATTTTTCAGCCTCATTTCGACAAATCACAACCTGAAATGTAAGTATCAACATTAAAATAATGATATAAATAATCAACTGAAAAAAAAAAAAAAAACAAGAATCTTTTCTTACAGGATTGAGCAGAAGCTCCGGGCTTGTCCTGTAAATGGTTGAAAAAAATAAGTATATCATAACTCTATTTGACACAAATGGTTTTCTTTACCTCATCCTTTAATCAAGGCGTAAATGATATAAAAATAAACTTAAAAAAAGAAGAAGAAGAAGAAGAAGAAGAAGCTAAATTGAAGTTACATACTTCATTTCAACTTCGGGTTTATTATGTCTTTCAACTTCTTGACAAGGGAAATTCTGAAACAAGAGAATATAACAACATTAGAGAAAAAGTATGCATTAATAGTTACAGATCCTGTTTCTTTTTTTCCTTTTTCCTCCCATTAAGTACTGTGTGGATACAGTGTTGTCTGGATAAATGATGTTTAAATAAAAAAGTAAATGAGTCATTCATTGTGCATTAAATCAAAAAAGATACACCCATATATAACTTAAGCTCTGCACCTATTAAGTCGGTAAAAAAGAAACAAGACCTAAATGTTCAACTAAAAGCATTTATTGCTTCCAAGATTTTGACTTGAAATCCATAATTCAACAAATAATGTAAACTATATAGTATAACATTGTATACCTGCAAACACATGGCAGCCTCTAGAGTGTTTCGTATGCAAGTCAAATACAATCTCAATGAGCTTGCCTG